TTGGTAGCAAGCAGAACAGATAATAACTATAGCTGAAGTAAACAAAGCAAATGCTTCCAGGAAACATCAATATTCCATACCAGATATACTCTGGTTTGACAGAAAATCACCTTTTCTCATACCTAGAAATCTGAGAGACAGGGAAACACTTATTTTTTTTGTACTGGGGCTTAAACTCAGGGCCTCTTGCTCTTGCTTGGCCTTTTCAACTCAAGGCTGACACTCTATGACTTGAGCCACAGCTCTACTTTCAGCTTTTTGGTGATTAGTTGGAGATAAGCATCTCATGGATTTTTCTGTCCCAGCTAACTTCAAACTCAGAACCTCGAATCTCAGCCTCCCAAGGAGCGAGGATGACAGGTGTGAGCCACCAGCGCCTGGCCACTTGGTTAATTTTAGCAAAAGACTTGCCCTGGGTGGCCTCAGACTTTGGCTATACCATGAGGCCACTGCTGTGTCACAAGACACTTGCATATGTGTATTTTCTCACTTAAAAAAGTGGGGCACTGGTGACTCACACCTGTCATCCTAGCTACTCAGGAAGCTGAGATTGCAGAATTGTGGTTGGAAGCCAGCTTAGGAAAATTTTTTTAAATAAGTTTTTTAAGGAAATTCAATTACCTCCCTCACTCCCCAAAAAATTTAAGGCCAGAAGTGAAGCCTGTGGCTCAAGCTAGCCCTAAGTAAAAAAGCTCAGGGACAGTGCCTCAGCCTTCAGTTCAAGTCTAGGGACTGACATCTATTTTTTTTTTCTTTTTTTTTGTCAGTTATGGGGCTTGATCTCTGGGCCTGGGCACTGTCCCTCAGCTCTTCAGTTCAAGGCGAGTACTCTGCCACTTGAGCCACAGCACCACTTCTCGTTTTCTGGTGGACTGGAGATAAGAGTCTCACAGACTTCCCTGCCCAGGTGGGCTTTGAACCTGATCCTCAGCTCTCAGCCCCTGAGTAGGATTACAGGCGTGAGCCACCAGCGCCTAGCCCCCTAATATTTTTTTTAAAATTACAAAACAAAAATGCATAAAATTAGATAATGATAAGGAATAAACAAAGATTAAAAAAAATACTAAAAAAATGGGGTGGGGGAGGGAGGAATTGTAAGTAATGCCAGAATTGAAGATGCTTCTTTTTGATACCTTAATACTGGACTTGGTGCTGTGGGTGGTGAGTCAAAGCCTGTCTCCGGTCCCCTGCACTTGGGCAGGGGCAGGGCTGGGGCGGGGGGGGGGGGGGGGGGGGGCAGCTGCCAGCTTCTGGACTGCATTCACTTCCATGCTTCCCTGAGTGGCTGCTGGCCCTCGGAACTTTATTCGTCTGTGGACCAGTACGTTCCCACTACATGCACATACCTCCAACACACAGTACATACACACACTCATTCCCGTACCCAGAGAGAGCAAATGCCAAGCCTAGAGGTATGCAAGTGCACTGGAGAAGCAAACAGCCCTGAGATCTGCAGAGGGGGCCCTGAGGAGACCCTGCATACTGCACTCAGAACCCACCTGGTGGTTGGCAACCCACCCTGAAGGAGGGAGGAGGCTGGGGACGTCAAACACCACCAGCCACCAATCCTGGTCTGTGCACTTCGCTTACCAGCAAGCCACTTAGAGTGGGAGGCCACCGGTTCTTCACAGTGCAGGTGGGCAGCTTTATTCGTGGTATGGAGCAATGGTGACATCTAGTGGCCAGATTGTGTACCTACCACTCCATGGAGTCAAGATAGCATCAGCCAAATAAATCTGTGGTATGCTCTAATACTGCTCCTTTTCCTCAGACTTACTTGCCTGAGTATTCCACACGCCCCACAGTGATATCCATTAACCCTGGGAAGCAATGGATCTAAAATGAGAAGGGGTGCAAGGTGATGGCACTGACAGGATCTCACTTTGTGGCCTAGGCTGGCCTCAAACTCCAGGCCTCTTGTGTGCTGAAATCAGAGGTGGTGTTGAACAACATGTCAGGTAAGGTGGATGATTTCCACAGGCAGAAGCTGAGGGGATGGGCAGGGGGCTGGACAGTTCACACCTAGAAACGTCTATACAGGCTCTCTGCCTCTCCATTCCCACCCCAATCCACAGGTAATGCAAGATAAAGAGATGAGGGGCTGGGAATGTGGCTTAGTAGTAGAGTGCTTGCCTAGCATGCATGAAGCCCTGGGTTTGATTCCTCAGTACCACATACACAGAAAAAGCTGGAAGTGGCTCTTTGGCTCAAGTGGTAGAGTGCTAGCCTTGAGCACAGAGAAGCTCAGGGACGGAGCTCTCCCTGAGTTCAAGCCCCAGGATTGGCAAATAACTCAGAAAAAAAAAAAAAGAAAAAAGAGCCGGGCGCTGGTGGCTCACGCCTGTAATCCTAGCTACTCAGGAGGCTGAGATCTGAGGATCGCGGTTCAAAGCCAGCCCGGGCAGGAAAGACCGTGAGACTCCTATCTCCAATAAACCACCAGAAAACCCGAAGTGGCACTGTAGTTCAAGTGGTAGAGCGCTTGCCTTGAGCAGCGCCCAGGCCCAGAGTTCAAGCCCCACGACCGACAAAAAAAAAAAAGAAAAAAATAAACTAAATCTTAATTTGGTGCTGGTGGCTCATGCCTGTAATCCTAACTACTCAGGAGGCTGAGATCTGAGGACTGCAATGCAAAGTCAACCTGGGCAGGAAAGTCTGTGAAACTCTGGTCTCCACTTAGCTACCAAAAAATTCAGAAGTGGAGTTGTCACTCAAATGGTAGAGTGCCAGCTCTGAGCAAAAAAATCAGGGGTAGTACCTAGGGCCTGAGTTCAAGCCCCAGGACCAGCACACACAAATAAAAACTAAATCTTAAAATGTAACGAGATTCTAAGTATTCCATCCCCCAACAATGATTTCAGTAATGCTCTAGAAACTAGCAAACTCAAATTACTGTAATAGGGAACCGCTGATTTTCTGGTGGTGAGTTCCTTTGTACCCACCATTCAAGCACCCTGCTCTGTCACCTCAGTGAGATACTACTAAGGTCCCAACATAAACCAGCAAACACTGAGTAAGGCGTACTGTGTATTTGGCAGGTGGAATCCCACTATAACTCACTATTAAGATAGGTGGGCTGCCTGGCGCCGGTAGGTCACGCCTGTAATCCTAACTATTCAGAAGGCTAAGATCTGAGAATCACGGTTCAAAGCCAGCCTGGGCAAGAAAGTCCATGAGATTCTTATCTCCAGTTAGCCACCAGAAAACTGCAAGTGGCGCTGTGGCTCAAGTGGTACAGTGCTAACCTTAAGCTGAAGAGCTGAGGGTCAGTGCCCACGCCCAGAGTTCAAGCCCCACAACTGACAAAAATAAATAAAGTTATGGGTCAGGTGCAATGGCTATAATCCCAGCTATTTGGGAAGTACAGATTGGGAGGGTTGTGGTTCAAGGAAGTAGGACATCCAACGCCAAAAAAAAAAAAAAAAAGTTAGCAAGCCTTCCATCTCAACAAATAAACTGAGTGTGGTGGTTTGTACCTATGATCTAGCTACACAGGAGGCACAAGCCCTATCTGAAAAAATAACTAAAGTCAGAAAAGGGCTAGGGATGTGGCCTAACAAGTTCAAGGGGCTTAAGCTGGGAAAGTGGCTCAAGTGGTAGAGCGCTAGCCTTGAGCAAAAGAAGCTCAGTGTCAGTACCCAGGCCCTGAGTTCAAGCCCCAGGACTGGCAAAAAACAACCCCTACAAAAAAAAAAAAAAAACAAGTTCAAGGGGCTGTGTTCGAACAGCAGTATCATCACCACAAAGCAAAAAGAGTAGGGACTCAGTGGTAGAGAAAGCTTGCCTAGCAAGCATGAGGCTCCAGATTCATCCCCCAAAATGCAAATTATTTAAATTTATGCTTTACATTATGACAAAAAGGATACTCAGAACTCATCACTTCATTGTTATCCTATTCCACATTATTTACATGTATCTGTGTGTGGATTTGCTGTACCTTCTGCATTATGTGATCAAATGGTACTATCCCACACGGTGGCAGTACTGACACCCTGGAAACAAACAGATTCAATCTGTTAACTGTCGGCTTAACAGAGTGCTGGAGAACACACTGCTAGTGCAGATAAAACTTGACTGTATGTCCTCGCTGTTGTGATTACGTGGTGAATAGTCACAAATTGAGGAACTATTCTTCCAGTAGTTGAAGATTACTATTTGATTCAGCAAAGAAATCCTTTGTACAGATGATGGTCTGAAAGAATAAACTTGGGATGGAAGAAAAGGTCCAACAGGGCTTCATTGTTTTTCTTTATTTCCCCCTCTATGCTGGGAATGGAACCCAAAGCCACTCTGGAGCTGCAGCACTGAGCTATAACCCCAACTTCTATGTTTCCTTTTCGTTTGTTTGATTTTGAGACTGAGGGTTTTTTTTTGGGGGGGGTAATGGGTCTTGAGCTCAGATTCTTATGCTTTTGCTTGGCTCTTTTGCTCACAGCTGGTGCTTTGCCACTTGAGTCACACCTCCACTTCCAGCTTTTTGCTAGTTAACTGGAGATCAGTCTCTTGGATTTGTCTGCTCAAGTTGGCTTTGAATCTCCATCCTCAGCCTCCTGAGTAGCTTAAAGGCTCAATCCGTGTAACAGTTTTTTTAATATTTTTTTAAATTTTTTATTGTAAAGATACTATACAGAGGGTTACAGTTACATGAGTAAGGTAATGATTACACTTCCTCGTGTAACAGTTTTTTAAAAAATTGTTATTGTTATCACCCGTAAAGACAGCATTGCATTTCATAGTTGGCTCACGGTGGCTTCTACCTCCTCCTTTTCTATGTATTGTAACTATTTATTGCAACACATTCTGTACCTACATACAAAACGCTTCTGCTGAGAGCTCCTGGTTAAGCACCGGCCAGACCGACGGCTGGCGTGCCTCGGGGTCACGCCCCGCCTCGCAGGGCCGCCCTCCCAGAGACCCTGGCCGAGGGCGGCCGCCAGGGGGCGCGCGCGGGGCGGGAAGGGGAGGAGCTTCGCGCTTTGACCCCGCGCGCAGCCCGTCGCCCAGCGCCGCGGCGGGAAAACCCGATCGGACCGACGGTGCTGCCGTCTCCTTCTTCCACCTTCGCACTCCCGCGTGGTGCGGCTCACCGTGATGGAGGAGGGGGAGGAAGCCGAGGAGCAACAGCGATTCTCCTACCAGCAGGTACCGGACAAACGAGGTCCCGGCCAGGCCAGGGCCGCGCAGGGCGCTCCAGAGCCTCCGGAGCCCCGGCTGGCCTCTCCCCAGGGCCGTCCTGGCCTCCCGGGCGCAGTTGGACTGCGCACGCGCCGCTGCCGCGTGGGGGGCGTGTGCTGGTTCCCACGGCAACAGGGCGGGCCCCCCGGCGAATGACGTGGTGCGCTCCGAGGCCGACTCCAGGGCGGCGCCAGGGAGCCGGCGGGCTGTGAGCGTGGCGTGGGGCGGGCGAACAGAGGCTCAGGCCGGAGGATCTCGACTTCAAGGCCAGGGTGCGCTGCGCAAGGACACTGTCTTTAAAACCAAAAAACAGAGCCCGCTGCCGGTGGCTCACGCCTGTCATCCTAGCTACTCAGGAGGCTGAGATCTGAGGATCGAGGTTCAAAGCCACCGCGAGCAGGAAAAGTCCATGAGACTTTTATCACCAATAAACCACCAGAAAACAGGAGGTGGCGCTGTGGCTCAAGTGGTAGAGCACTAGCTTTGAGCACAGACGTTTATGGACCGCGCCAAGGCCCTGAGTTCAAGCCCCACGACCGACTATAATAGTAATAATAGTAATGATAATAATAATAATAAATCCTAAGTAGTGCACTGAGCGCCGGGCAGTAGAAACCAAAGCTGTGAAACGCAGACCCCTGGAGCCATTAACTGTCAGGCCTACAGAGGAGGAAATCGTTGCAGAGTTAGGATTCAGATCTTGGCAGGTCACCCTCTCCCAGAGCTCACCCTCAAGTCCTGGGTTCCCATTCTTAGCTACTCCAACTTGTGATTGCAGTCACACAAGTTTGTGCCCTAGGCTCAAACACAGTTTGAAAATTTTGAATTGGAACAGCTGCCTCTCCCGGTAGTGTTGAATGGATAGATAATGGCAGGCCAAGACTTTCACGGCTGCGTTTGTTAGGGGAATTCAGTCTTTCCTTTCATCAGCAGCACGATTCTAGTGTGGAGTCAGTCATGGGAATATTGCTCTGTGGCGAGTGGCAGCCTGCAAGGGGATTGGCCGGGAGAAGAAGGCAGAGCATTTTCTGCCTAGGAAGCCTGGAGTGTCAGCAGCTCTCATTCGGAGCCTTCACACCTTGCCGGAAGTGGAAGGAATAGTGGGGGGAGCACCCGGAGGCCATCACCAGCATTCACCTCTAGTTAACATTTTGTTCACAAACTCAGGAAGTGGAGGTGGGAAGAAGTTTGAAGCCAGCTCAGGCAAAAGTTACCAAGATCCCATTTCTGCTAATAAGCCTGGTGTGGTGGTTCATGTCTGTAGTGCCAGCTATGCAGGAGATCCTGCTCTGAGGTCAGCCTGGGCAGACATGTGAGACCCTACCTGAAAAATAACTAAAATAACCAAAGCAGAGCCACTTGAGTGCCTGCCTAATAAGCAAAAGACCCTGAGTTCAAGCCCCAGTCCTGCCCTTAAAGGGGGGTGGGATATGGTTTGCTCAAGGCTGGTGATATATACCCAGTAGCAAGGTGCTTACTTAGCATGTGCAAGGCACTGAGTTTGATTCCCAGTATGGCTAAAATGTGTTTGCTGGAAAGGCTGCTCAGGTGCACCCACAAACTTGCAAAGGCGGGTCAGGTGTGCTCTTCAGCCTTTCCTGGTGTCCTGTGCTTTTGTTCTTTGTGGTGTGTTAGCTGGGGGCTGCTGGGCACTGGTAATAGAGGGGTGGGATCCTGCTGGCTTTACTTGATTAACGACCCTAAGGGCCTAGTCCCTGTCTGGTTGATCAGCGTGTTCCCCAGACACTGAGCATGGGCCGTTACTCCTCGGGAATTGAGTGCTTAGTTGTGTAATAACTGGGGAAAGTCACACCCATCCTTGACTTCTCTCCCTGCTGACATGTCTTTCTTTCTTTTCTTTCTTTCTTTCCTTCCTTTCTCTTTTTTTTCTCTCTCTTTCCTTCCTTCCTTTTTTTTTTTTTTTTTTTGGTGAGTTGTGGGCTTGAGCTCTGGGCCTGGGTGCTGTCCCTCAGCTCTTCAGCTCAAGGCTGGCACTCTACCACTTGAGCCACAGTGCCACTTTTGGTTTTCTGATGGTTAATTGGAAATAAGAGTCTCATGGACATTCTTGCCCAGGCTGGCTTTGAACCGTGATCCTCATATCTCAGCCTCCTGAGTATCTAGGATTACAGGCGTGAGCCACCGACACCCGGCTTAATTTTTTTTTTTCTTAAGGCATGGAAAGCTCTTATTTGCAATCTTCCCATGAAATACTTTATTTTTCCCCCCAGAGGCTAAAGGCTGCAGTTCACTATACAGTTGGTTGTCTTTGCAAAGAAGTTGAGTTGGACAAAGAGATGCCATTCAGCAAACAGACCATCGCAGCAATTTCGGAGCTGACTTTTCGGCAGTGCGGTACGAAACCCCAGTCTTCCTCTGCTATAAATCCCAAAGCTTCGGCTGCCCGGCGGTGCTGTGGACCAGGCTGTGGCCGGAGCACACCTTACCTGCACAGAGCCATTTTTGGCCTCTGTCTTCATGCCCTTCTGGGACTGGGAGATTTGAATAGGAGAAGAATTATGAGGGTCCCCCCCCATTATACTAACATTGGGCCATTAGCACCTGTATTTTTATTATGTTTTAAACTGTCCTGATGGCTGGAACAGTACAGATTTTTAATTTCAATGCTTTAAACATTTTTATATCATCCATAGTTTGACAGTGTTGGTATTTCCTTATCTGGGGAAAATGAATGTCCTTGCAAGCACTAATTTGTTTAGCAGAATTTCAAGTGAAAGGATAGAGTGTAGAAAGCAAAGGTGAAGGGCTGGGACGGTGGCTCGGTGGTAGAGCGCTCGCCTCACACACAGGAGGTCCTGGGTTTGATTCTTCAGCACCACATAAGCAGAAAAAGCCGGAAGTGGTGCTGTGTTCCAAGTGGTAGAGCGCTAGCTTTGAGCTGAAGAGCTGAGGGACAGCGCCCACACCCAGAGCTCAAGGCCCATGACGGACAAAAAGAAAGCAGAGGTGAAGTCACAGTGGGTGGCAGTTGTTCGGAGAGACAAAGAAGTCGTGATGATTGAGACAGCTCTGTGCAGTTATGAAACCATGGGGCCCGTCTGAAGCACCTCTGTTCACCTTTGTTCACCTTTAAAAGGCTCTGTGGGTGCCTGGGAAGGTGGCTTAGTGGTAGAGTGCTTGCCTAGCATGCTTGAAGCCCTGGGTTTGATTTCTCAATACCACATACACAGAAAAAGCTAGAAGTGGCACTGTGGCGCAAGTGGTAGAGTTATCCTTGAGCAAAAGAAGCTCAGGGACAGTGCACAGGCCCTGGGTTCAAGCCAAAAAAAAAAAAAAAAAAGGCTCTGTGCTAGTACTCACTCTCCTGAGTATGTGAGATTTCATTTTTCCTCCTAAAATGAGGTAGAGGTAAAGGCAGCTAAAGCATTACCTTTTTTTTTTCTTTCAGATAATTTTGCCAAAGACCTTGAGATGTTTGCAAGGTGGGTAGAGAGCTTGATGGTGTGATGCTTATGTTTATGTTTTATTGACTCTGTCCATCTGCTGGCGCGTCGGCTCTTTGTGGGAACGAAGTGGTCGGGGAGGGCAGGCCAGGCCTGGCCCGGCAGCGTGCGCATGGCTCATCATTCTGCAGGAATAGAACATCTGCTGTAATCACGTTGATTCACACTTGTCTTGGCAGTTTTTAAAGTTCTCCAAGTATATTTCTGGCCTTTTTTTAAACCATTCTTCAGTTCCAGGTTGAAAATATGAGTAATGTCCCCAGGACGCTGATTGTGTGTGGTGGGGAGGTTGTGGGCGGGGCGGGGAGGGAGGTTTAGGGGGAGGTTGATCATTTTGGAAACCAGGTGTGAGCCTGAGAATGGCCCATGCTACGAGGCCGGGGCCTCACGTGTGCGCAGTGATCGCCTGCAGGTGTGCACATGATGACAGGCAAGGCTGTTACCGCCACAGTTGTGAAAAGAGGGGGGGACTCGATTTCACCCTTTGAAGCTGGGGCTTTTACAGGTGATTTATGGTCTTCTCTTCAATTAGTACCACAGGTAATTGGAAACAATCGCCACGAATTGCTTTTATGCCTCAGTTGGAATGACGAAGGCCTGACAGAGCTAAAGCTTTTTAATTTGCGACACTTCTGATTGGTGCCAGCCTTTCCTCCACCCCATACTTTTCACCTTGCTCCCGTTAGCTCTTTGTTTCTGGGATGAATGTTTTGAATGAATTAAAGCAGTAGGTTCTCAGAGGGCAGGCTCTAAATCTCTCCTATGCCTGTATATATCAGTTCCTAAAAACCGCTTAGCATCATCCACTTGGCCAAGAGCACAGGGGTATTATGGGATGCGTATTCATCGTTAATTCAGACAGGTGGCCTTAGATTACCCTCCACGACGTCCCATGAAATATGCGTTCCGTCTTCACTTGCCATCTTTGTGCTAGCTGTGGAAATCAATGAAAAACTTAAAGTACTTTCATAAAAATTCCAGAAACCAAAATGAAAGTAGAGGCCGGAGGTCGACCCTGTAGAGGCTCGCCTCGCATGTGTCAGGCCTTGGGTTCCATCCCTGGTGCGCATGCGTGCACATGTACACACACAATACATTAGGAATCTATAGCATGGTACCATATTATTGAGCTTTTAGGTCTTGCTGTGTAGTCCAGGTTGCCCTCAAACTTGGAGTCTTCATATCTGCTGAATGCTGGGATTACAGGCATTGCCACTGTATTTGACTCGGGGTTAGTTTGCTTTTTTCTTCTGAGACAAGGTCTTTCAGTATAGCCCAGGATGGCCTCAAACTCCTGGTCCTCCTGCCTTATTCTCCTGAGTACCTGGATTACAGGTGTGCGCCCCCATGCATGGCTCCGTGTGTGTATATATGTGTGTGTGTTTGGTGGCACTGGTGGTTGAACTCTCCCACTTGAGCCTAATCTTAGCTACTCAGGATTCTGAGATCGAGGGTTGCAGTTTGAAGCCAGCCAGGCAGAACAGTCCATGAGACTCTTATCTCCAGTAAACTACTCAGAAAAAGCTGGACATGGTGCTGTGACCCAAGTGGTAGAACACTAGCCTTGAGCACAAAGAGGCTCAGGAACAGCACCCAGGCCCTGGATTCAAGCCCCAGACTGGCGGGAAAAAATATAAAAGGGAGAAAAAGCTAAGCAAGAGCAAGGGGTTTTGATGAGTTCAAGCCCTGGTGCCAGTGTGCATGCATATGTACACACACACACACACACACACACAATGACAGCAGATGTTGTGAATCACAACATCTGTTGTGAAATGGCACATGATGATACTGTACATTTAGGAAGATGTATAAGATTATTGGTGGAACAATGGAGCAGTATTTCTGGTGATTTCATCTTTAGCTTGGCAGACACTCAGTGAGGACCAGTATGTGCTGACTGCTTTATTAAGGATCCAGAGATCCCGCTTCTGCTTATGAAGTTCTTATTTTGGGCTGAAGTTAGTATTGGCCAGAAATGTAATCAGAGCAATAAATAACGGAATAGAGCTTACTTCACATGGTCTTTCCTAGCAAGGAAAAGATGACCAGGATGAGAGCTTTGGTCCAGGTTGTGAGCAAGAAACAGCCTCCAAGCCAGAAAACTGGAAGTGGCGCTGTGGCTCAAGTGGTAGAGCACTTGCCTTGAGCTGAAGCGCTGAGGGACAGCGCCCAGGCCCAGAGTTCAAGCCCCATGACCGACCAAAAAACAACAAACCAAAACCCAAAAGCAGCCTCAGTGTGCAGGGCGCTCTTGTTCCCCCTCAGCTGCTGTGAGCCACAGCTGGCGGGGCAGGGGTCCCAAGGATCTGCATGTGCTTTGTCTCTAATTCAGCCCTTAGAAATCACTTTCCGGATCTTCGCCACACTTCACAGCGATTCTTTGTTCAACTATTTAATGTCTATTTAAGCAGAGGTGATCTGTGAGGTTTGAGGGTGATTTTCTTTTTCCTCCCTCCACTAAAGTTGCTCCCTGAGCATCTTGCTCTTTCTAGGCTGCTCCTGGAAGGGCTTCGGTCGGCTCCTTCGCGTTCCGCAGCCGCTCCCCACCCCTCCCCAGTGGGCAGGTGGACTCTGCTGGCCCTCCGTCTCCCTCTTCGCTTGGCATCGTGCCTCAGAACCTCACTTGCATGTCTGTCCTTGTTCCTTAATGTCCTTCATCTTAAAAGATGGGCTGCTTCCAGATCCTTGAGCTTTTATATTTCATCCCAGCTTTCAACACTAGCAAACATGTTGGTGACTTGTTTCTGCCCTTTCCACAGACACGCGAAAAGAAGCACAATTAACACCGACGATGTGAAGCTCTTAGCGAGGAGGAGTAATTCACTGGTGAGAGGCAAATCTCTTTCCTCTCTCCCCTTTTCAATCAGAATACATTATTCCCAGTTAATCACCGGAAGCCAGGAGTTATTCCCCAGGGCACCTTGCCTTAACAACTGGAGCTGGTTGAGCCATTCAGACCTGCCTGTAATTTATAATCTACCTTTCTGTCTTTCTTTCTTTTCATTATGATGGATCTTGCAAAGCCAATTTGAGATTTTCTAATCAGGAGTCTGTAGATTTTATAACGTGCCTCTTCTGTAATATTTCAAAACTTTTACTCCCGTGTTTTATTCACACCATGTTGTGCATGGTTAGGGGCTGGTCTGTGTGGGTGATTAGCTTATCCCACACTTCTGACGGACCCAGGGTGGAAGAAGTTTCTGTAAAACTGACTGTGCAGGAAAAGGCATGTTTTCCCTGTTTTCAAGTGTAGAAATTATTTTGACCAAGTCCTCATTTCCCAGGTGATAACACTTGGCACCCCGGGGCCCCCAGGCGGGTGGCCAGGGTCAGTGGACAGAGCCAGGACACACAAGGGCAGTATTCTTTGTTTCTTTGTACTATGTTCCATCTCTGTCTCCAGAACATTCCTAGCATACAGGAAGGGCTCAATAAATAGATTTTCAGTGAATGTGTTTGCATGGCTCTTGAGACAGTCCACAAGGACTTTGTTTTTGCTTTTGCTTCCCCCATCTGACCTGGAACTCTGGAGCTCAAGTTATTCTCTGTTTCCTGAGTAACTAAGACTGTAGGCTTCCCTGCTTGCCTGGCTTATATAGACTTACTGTGTGCGCGCGCGTGCATGTGCAGGCGCTCCTGTACTAAGTTTGCTAGTACTGGGGATGCACTTGGCCTAGGTGGTATCCCTTAGTCTTTTCACTCAAAGCTGGTGCTCTACCTCTTGAGCAGCAACTCCACCCAACTTTTTGCTTTTTTTTTTGTTGTTGTTGGGAACAGGGCTTGAACTCTGGGCCTGGGCGCTGTCCCTCAGCTCTTAGCTCAAGACTAGAGCTCTACCACTTAAGCCACAGCACCACTTCCGATTTTCTGAGTGGGTTATTGGAGATAAAGAGACTCATGGACTTTTCCTACCTGGGCTGGGTTTGAACTGTGATACTCAGATCTCAGCCTTCTGAGTAGCTAGGATTACAGGCATGAGCCACCGGTGCCCAGCTTTTGCTAATTATTTTGGAGACAGAGTCTCACCAGTCTGGACTGGTTTGAACTACCATTTTGTAGATCTTAGCCTTCTGAGCAATTATGATTATAGGTGTGAAGCACCTGTGCCTCAGGCACTTGTGCTTTAACAGTATATTTGTGACTGGTGTGCCTGCTACGAACTCCCCTGCTTTTTATTTTATTTTATTTTGTGCCAATACTGGAGCTTGAACTCAGGGCCTGCACTCTCACTTTACATTTGCTGAAGACTGTCATGATACCTTGAGCCACTTCTGGCATTTTGCTGGTAAAAGTCTCATGTTAGTCAGGTATCAGTGGCTCATGCCTATAATCTTAGCTACTAGGAGTCTGAGATCTGAGGATTGTAGTTTGAGGCCAGCACAGGCAGGAATGTCTGTGAGACACTTTTTTTGGGGGGGTTGTGCTCGAACTCTGGGCCTGGGCACTGTCCCTTAGCTCTTCAGCTCAAGGCTAGTGCTCTACCGCTTGAGCCACAGCACCACTTCTGGCTTTTTCTGCTTATGTGGTGCTAAGGAATTGAACCCAGGGCCTCATGCATGCAAGGCAAGCGCTCTACCACTCAGCCACCTTTCCTGTGAGACTCTGATTTCCAATTAACCACCAAAAAATTGGAAGTGGCTCAAGTGGTAGCCTTGAGCAAAAAAGTTCAGGGACAGCACCCAGACCAAGAATTGAAGCCACACAAGGTACCTACATTCAAAAAAGTATCATGGACTTTTCTGTCCAGGCTGGCTTTAGACTTTAGTCCTCAGCTGTCCCTCTCCTGAGTAGCTAGATAAAAGTCTCATGATTACAGACATGAGCCACCAACACTCAGCTTTTGTTTTTATGTTTTTTTGTTGGTTGTAGGACTTGAACTCAGGGCCTGGACGCTGTCCCTGAGCCTCTTTGGGCTCAAAGCTAGCACTCTACCACTTAATCCACAGCACCACTTCCATTTTTGAGTAGTTAATTGGAGATAAGAGTTTCACAGGGACTTGTCAGGCTGGCTCCGAACCCGATCCTCAGATTTCAGCCTCCTGAGTAGCTAGGATTACAGGCATGAGCCACTGGTGCCCAGCCAGCTTTTGTTTTTGAAACAAACTGTTTATGCAGTCCAGGCTGGCCTTGAACTCTGATGTCTCAGCCTCCTGAATGCTGGGTTACAGGTGTGTGTTCTCACTCTTGGTTAAACTTTACTATGTTGTTGTTGTTGGTGGTGGTGGTGGTGGTCATGGGACTTGAACTCTGGGCCTGGGTGCTGTGCCTCAGCTCTTCAGCTCAAGGCTAGTGCTCTACCAATTGAGCTACAGTACTACTTCCAGTTTTCTGGTGGTTTATTGGAGATGAGACTTTCCTGCCCAGGCTGGCTTTGAACGGTGATCCTCAGATCTCAGCCTCCTGAGTAGCTAGGATTACAGGTATGAATGAGTCACTGGCCCCTGGCTAAACTTTACATTTTTAACTTTTTAAATTACTCAAGGAATTTTTACATTGATAAATAGTTCTTGGGAAGACATATTTTTTTTCCACCCAAATTCTTTAGGTAGAAATGGTTAGGATGGGTGTAGTTTGGTTATTTTTCCCTCAGGTGTATACAGTGTTTTCCCACCAGTTTTAAATACAGTAATACAGCCTCCTTTTGTTTTCTTGTAGCTAAAATACATCACAGAGAAGAATGAGGAGATTGCTCAGTTTAATCTAGAACGAAAAACAAAGAAGAAAAAGAAATTGGAGGATGGAAACAAAAACCCCAGGGAGCACGCAGACGAAGAGATGGTAGAGTGAGAGCGAAGTGCTTTCTCTGCTGTGGAATAAGGCGGCCTTCAGCAGGTAGAGCTGCCTCAGCCCTGAGTAGTGTCACCAAGGGAATCCTTTCTTCCTTTTTTTCCAGGAGTAGCAAAACTATTGGAATGTGGCTAAGGGCCGAATAGGCAGCCTTGCCAAGAGGCAGAGGCTGCTGCTGCCTGTGCTGGTGTGGGCTTGGGGACAGGCTTTAATGGTGTTACTTGAGATTCTTCTGATTGGCTGCTGCTTGCCCATGGGCCTTGCTGATTGGTTGTTTCTCTCTCTCTGAACATGGTTTTGACTTCCTTGGTATTTTATTCCCACCATGCCTCCCTCTGTAAGGGGAACTTTACTCCACATACCCCTCCCCTCCACCCCCCCCCCCCCCCCCCCCCCCCCCCCCCCCCCCCCCACCGCGACAACAAATTCAGTTCTGACTTAAGTGGAGGTCTCATCTTGGACTTGCTTAGAGATGGGTAGAGTTATAATGATGTCCCTGCCTGCCACAAAGTGAATTCTGACAGGATAAATAGAGATGCTTTCAAAGAAAAAAAAAATGGTGAGGTGGCTTATGTGCTGTATTTTGTAAGCCATTAACTTCAGAAGCTAGTTTAAAAGAAAGCTGGGGATTCCAGCAAAATATCTCCATGTCTTCTTCAAGCCTGTGAGAAAGGCCTGAGTGTGAACGCTATGTCCCATGACTTCAGTATCCAGCAGCTGGTAAAATGTTGTTAGCAATTAAATGACTGATTTTTTTTTTCACACAGAAATCATGGTTATTTCTTCACTATATTACATCTTCTAGTTTAGTGCAGCCTAGGTGAATAAAGCTGTATTTATTTAGCTCTCTGACTAATAGTGTTGTTTTTAAACCTGTGCCACTTTAGTTGCCATATCAGAAATGGTATTTAAATAGTATTTCATACTTTTTTTTTTGTCGGTCATGGGGCTTGAACTCTGGGCTTGGGCGCTATCCCTCAGCTTTTCAGCTCAAGGCAAGCACTCTACCACTTGAGCCACAGCGCTACTTCCGGTTTTCTAGTGGTTTATTGGAGATAAGAGTCTCATGGACTTTCCTGCCTGGGCTGACTTTGAACCCTGATCCTCAGATCGCAGCCTCTTAGAAGCTAGGATTATAGGCATGAGCCACCAACGCCCAGCCTTTCCTTTCTTACTTTTTTTTAAAGAGAGAGAGAGAGTGTGTGTTTGTGTGTGTGTGTGTGTGCGCGCGCACGCTCGCTGAGACTTGAATTCAGGGCCTGGGCATTGTCCCTCAGTTTCTCTTTCTTAAGACAAGTACTCTATCACTTGAGCCATAGCTTTACTTTTTTACTTCTTTGTGTTTTGTGTTTTTTTTTTTTTGCCAGTCCTGTGCTTGACCTCAGGGCCTGGGCACTGTCCCTGAGCTGCTTTTACTCAACACTAGCACTCCACCACTTGAGCTACAGCGGCTTCATGTATGCTAGGCAAGCACTGCACCACTAAGCCACATTCTCAGCTCTACTTTTGACTTTTTGATGGTTAAGTAAAGATAAGAATCTCATGGAGGGCTGGGAAGGTGGCTCAGTGGTAGAGCGCTCGCCTCGCACGCATTAGGCCCTGGGTTTGATTCCTCAGCACCACATAAGAAAAAAGCCGGAAGTGGCACTGTGGCTCAAGTGGTAGCATGCTGGTCTTGAGCTGAAGAGCTGAGGGACAGCGCCCAGGCCCAGAGTTCAAGCCCCATGACTTACTAAAACAATAAAAAAAAAAATTAAAAAAAAGAAGAATCTCATGGATAAGCTGGGCACTGCCTGTAATCCTAGCTACTCAGGAGGCTGAGATCTTAGGATCATGGTTCAAAGGCAACCTGGGCAGGAAAGTCCAAGAGACTCTTATCTCCAATAAACCACCAGAAAACCAGAAGTGGTGCTGTGGCTTAAGCGGTAGAGCACTTGCTTTGAGTTGAAGAGCTGAGGGACAGCACCCAGGCCCAGAGTTCAAGCCCCACGACCGACAAGAAAAAAGAATCTCATGGACTTTCCTGCATGGGTTAGCTTTGAACCATGATCCTCAGAGCTCAGCCTTCTAAGTAGCTAGGATTACAGGTGTGAGCCACTGGTGCTCCTCTGTTTATTTGGTTGTAGGCCTTGAATTTAGGGACTGGGTGCTGTCTCTAAGCTCTTTTGCTCACGGCTAGCATTCTACCACTTAGAGCCATTGCTCCACTTCTGGTTTTCTGGTGGTTCATTGGAAAGAAGAGTCTCATGGACTTTATTCCTCAGGCTGCCTTCAAACTGTGATTCTCAGATCTCAGCCTCCTGAGTAACTAGGATTATGAGAGTGAGTCACCATCACCTGGCAGATCTTAATTTGCATCTTGATTTACCAATTTAGTAGCTGTGTGAATTTCAGAGGAGTGTGTGTGTGTGTGTGTGTGTGTGTGTGTGTGTGTGTGTGTGTCCGTCCGTCTGTGTTCATGTCCATCTGTCCGTCCTAGGGCTTGAACTCAGGGCCTGGGTGCTGTTCCTGAGTTTTTTTGCCTCAAGGCTAAATACTCTACAACTTGAGCCACAGCTCCACTTCTGGCTTTTTCTGAGTAGTTTATTGAAGAGCCTCACTGATTTTCTTGCCTCATGGTCCTCAGATCTTAGCCTCCTGAGTAGCTTGGATTACAGGCAAGAGCCACCAGCACCTCACAATTTCAGTGATTTTTGTGGTTTTCTTTCTTTCTTTTTCTTTCTTTGTGCCCCATTGGGGCTTGAGTTGGGGTCTGTGTGCTGACCCTGAGCCTGTGCACGAGGCTGGAGCCCTCCACTTGAGACATACACGAGTGTTGGTCTTTGTCCTCTGTGGGGGTTGGGGAACCACCAGAGTGGGGCCTGGCCGTGCCAGGGTCTGTGGGATCTGTGGGTTTGTTGGAGACGGGGGCGGGGGAGGGCTTGTAGCTCCTCTCGCACCCGCTACCCAGGCACGGGTACGGCCTGCGCTGCAGCAGGCGGTGCTAGGGGCAGTAGCCGGCTCATCCTTGCCTGGATCCAGCGGACCCAGAGGTGCTGCCACTGCGTCCTCCTGAGCCCTCGTCGCTGGCGTCTCGGTGCGTTTGTTTTTCTCTTTGGTGCTGGGAATGGAAGCAGGCGTCACACATGCTCCGCACGTACTCTCCCAAGCTGTGTCCAGCCCCTCAGTCAGACTTTCTATTTGGGCAGATTTTCGTATTTTAAGCTTCTTATCCAAGGCTAATTTTATGTTAAATCACTTGGTTTTGTTCTCATGGCTTCCTGCTGGCTATAGGCATAATTACGAGGAAGTAGAACTTTCTCAGAAGCAAGCACACATGCATTCCAAAATAAGAGCAAATTCACTCTAAACACAGGAAAAGACCTGAGGGTTTAATTAAGGGGCTAAATCCAACCCCCAAATGCTTTTGTGGGCCTTGATTGCTTGGCTCGTGCGTCATTGCATGTGAGTGTGAGGAGAGGCGTCGCGGTTTATGACCAACATGGATAGACACAAAAACCACTGGCCCTGGAGCCTTCATCTCCAAAGAAGACGCGTACATCCACAAACGCAGGTTCAGGTCTCGGGGCTTCCAAGGATGGGCGATGCCAGAGCTGGAAGGAGGTGGCCGTGTGTGTGCGGGCTGCTGCTGCTGCTGCTCTGGGGCACCGCGGCTACTCACCCGGAGCGGGGTGCCACCGGCCAGGACGGCGTGGTGAGTAGGCCCTGTTTGCCTAGCTAGCCTGTTCTCAGCTTGTCTCTTTTTTTCCTTTTTTTTTTTATTTTTTATTTTGGTGCTAGTACTGGGGCTTAGGACCTTGGTACTGTCCCTGAGCTTTTCCCTCAAAGCTGATGCTCTACCACTTAAGCCATACCTGCACTTACAGCTTTTTGCTGGTTAATTGGAAATAAGAGTCTCACAGACTTTTCCTGCCCAGGCTAGTTTCTACCCTTGATCCTTAGATCTCAGTCTCCTGAGTAGCTAGGATTACATGCATGAGCCACTACAACCCAGCTTCAGCTTCTCTATTGGCATTGTGACCGTCATGTGGGATTCTGGAAGGTCCCATTGAGACCACATTTACCTCTGTAAGATCTCTGCATTCGGGGGAGCATGTCCTGCATCTGCCAGCCTGAGACACTAAATGCTTCCTCCAGGCTATGTGGTACACTTGAGTGACTCCTGCCAGTATTCGTCCCACGTACTCGCAGAGCCTTGATTTATAGCCCCAGCCCTACTCTTCACTAGCTCTGATTAATTGGCATCATTACATTCACCATAGTGAGAGTTTGTAACTTCATGAGGTGATTTATTTCCTCTTCTTTCCTTTTTGAAAAAGTTCCAAGAAAAAAGTACATAAAAGTTGGCCATTAAAAATGGATTTTTCTCCGAAATTACTTTATAAGTTTCAGATAGTCATTTATCATCAGGAAGCTTCCTAAGGAATTTAAGAGAACAGAATTTAGCATCTCAATCCGACCTGTCTTGGAGGGCGATTTGCAGATGTCCAGGAGTATCTAAAGATGAGAAAGCAAGCTAAATTAGCTGATCTGCCATCACCTCTGAGGCTTCTTATTTGCCTGCTAGTCTCTTGAGGAAGGGGCCAGAATATGATGGATTTCCTGGCCTCTTCTAATTAAGAACCTCAGCAAAAATGATGGCTTGTTCTCTTGTCTGAGAATTAGCAACTTTTCCTTTTCTCCAATTAGAGTAATTTCTTTAAGGAATTCTCTTTCTCGTCCTTTAAATGAAAATGTGATTTATGGTTAATGAGTATCTTTCGTTTCCTTTTGTAAGGAAGAGATCAGATTGGCCATCTTTAATGTTGGCTGAGTCCAAAGGTTGACTTTTCTTTCTTCTGTCATCTGCTTCTCTGTAAAAGCCTCTGCAGGAAGGGGCTGAAGTAAAGGCAAACAGCCTCCTGACTTTGCTGGCTTGGTGGCATGAGTGGGCCCGGGCTCATGCCGGGGCTCTCATCGGAGGGGACACCGGCAACATAGCCAAGCGCCAGGAAGATCTACCCCTTCAGCAGCCCCCACGCAGGGAGAAAACAGAGAAAACCCGCTGCAAGAATTTCTTCTGGAAGACCTTCTCCTCCTGCAAATAAACCTCACCCTGCTTACACACGTGAAATGTGGTGATGGATCCAGACAAAGCATATTAAATAGCAAGGGCCTCTCTTCCCTTTCCAATGTCATTTGTGAAGTATTTTTTTTTATGTACATTTATGAGCTGGTATCTCATGCTATAATCCTAGCCTACTTAGGAGGCTGAGATCTGAGGATCACAGTTCAAAGCCAGTCTGGGCTGGAATGTCCAACTAGCCGGCAAAAAGATGGAAGTAGAAGTGTGGCTCAAATGGTAGAGCACTAACCTTGAGCAAAAAAGCTCAAGTAGAGCTCC